CAATTTGTTGTTATCGACACAGTCAAACGTCTTTGCAAAGTCAATGAAACACAGATAGACATTCTTCTGGTATTCTTTGCCTTCTGCCAAGATCCACTTAACATTGCCGATAATGTCTCTAGTGTCACGGCCTCTTCTAAACCCAGTTCGTATTTCTGGTAGTTCTCTGTCAATCTACTATTCCAATCGTTTCTGGATAAGCTTCAGCTGTATTTTGCTAGCATGTGATATGAGGTAGATGTACAATAATTTCCACACTTTGTCAGGTCACCTTTTTTGGGGATGGGAATAAATATGGATCTCTTCTAGTCAGTTGGCCAGGTAGCTGTCCTCCAGACACAAGCTGGTGAGCACGTCCAGGGCAGCAACTATTTATTGCAATATGTCAATTGGTATTCCATCTATTCCTGGGGTTTTATTTTTTGCCAAGTCCTTCCCAGCAGCCTGAACTTCATCCTATATCATCATTGCCTTTTGATCCTCTGCTGTTTATTGAAATTTCTTCTGTGTCATTCAATTCTTGTTGGTACTGGGACCTGATAAAATTCAATTTATGCCAACAGAGGTTTTTTAAAGAATCTGGTCTATCAGTTACCTCAGACCACAATCCTGATGCAAGAAAGCCCTTCTGTGCTGTCTCTTTAAAGCAGGAGGGTGTCATTGTGCTTGAACAAAGGGAAAAGGAAACATCCCTCAAGCCTGGAGCTTAGCCCACCCAGGTCCTAGCTGTAAGCCCTGAGGGGGAAAAGGGGTGAATATGAAGTCACAAAATCCCTACCTTGTGCTTTGTGTATTTTCAGTGAACAGAGAAAAGGGCGGTAACGCTAAGAGGTGCAGGCCCCTCATAATAAAGGATGGCCCTACTTGCTTGCCAATTAGATCTTTTTATGTTCAAAACCACATGCACAGGGAGCTCTGGTGGCCTAGTGGCAAGACGCTGCATTGCAATTCCAGAGGTACACGGTTCAAATCCACCAGATGCTCTGCTGGAGAAGGAGGGACAATCTCCTCCTGTACCAGTCAGATCTGATATGATGGTACACATAAATACAATAAAAATAAAAAAATAAAAAATAATTTTAAAAAAACCTCACATGCACTTTATTTCATGATCCCTCACCTCTTCTGGCATCCCCTTAATCTGACAAAGGCTGTCCAAATCCCTCCAACCATTTTAGCCCAAAGCATTGCCAACCTTTCTGGCTCCTTCCACTCAGGAGCAGTCACATCTGATTCCAAGGTCTGCAAATGCCTCTCCAAAATGTCTTTTTCCAAAAGGTTATATCCAACCAGTTTAAAAAAGAGAGAAATACTTTCTCACTTCTGGGTAAACAGCTGCTGGCCTGAGAGCCCAGGTGGCTTCTTGCAGCCCCAAACTGTCCTCCAGGACTTTACACTCCTCTGTGACACAAAACCTCAAGGATTAATGTGCTGAGAGCTGAGAGCGGGAGCCTGTAGGACAGGACCCTGGGGCCACTGTGATGGGGTGGGGCCAAGGCCAGCCCCAAGCTACTGTTATTGTGATCCGCACTCAGGAAAAAAACATGCTCCTTCTTTTACTAAAATGTTTGCCAAAAGCCTCTAATAAGTTCTCCTATACTTTTTTTTTTCATTCTTCAAACTTATTATATGTAGCTCTTGGCCATCTATCAATCTGCCTTGCATGGTGACTTGTGTGTTGTTATTATGCTGGAAGGTCCACCACTAGCTTTCAAATACCAGCAGGAACAGGATTACAATGTTGGGCAGGCTTAAGTGAAACTTCCAGGTTAAAAGAGACGAGGAAGAAAGGCCTGGCAATCTACTTGCAAAATTAGCAACTGAAAACCCGATGGATCGCTGAATACTGTCAGAAACTTTGACTAGATATTTAGCCTTATCATCAGGGGTGACTAAATTCCAGAGAAGGAAATACATACCAATGATCATGAAAATGGCACAGAACTGGAAAGCCCTTCACTCTGTTGGACACAGGATGGCAGTGAATTGGAGCTGCCTCAGAGGCAACAACCGACAATGACATACAGTTCTGCTCCAGCTGCTCCCATGCCCAAATTGTGCCTTGGTTTCCCTTGCTAAGACAGGTTCCATTTGCTTGGCCCAGGTGTCGAGTCCCCACTTGGCCAGCTTCTCCCTCACAGCACTGCCCTAGCCCGGCACCCACAATTCACTGTCCCGACCTGACTCCAAACTCTTCACCCCGTGGCCCCTCTTCGCCATGCGGGCTATCCTAGGATCACCAGAGGAGCTTCCAAAGCCCTGAAAAATTGCAGTCAGGATCTCTGGGAGTGGGGACCCATGCCTCTGTACCCTGAGGTTTTCCAAGTGAGCCATTCCAGGGAACAGACAAGGATGAGGACGACCTTACCTGAAATACTCTTAGCTCAATCAGCTGGTCTCAATCCACCTCACGCCTAAAACCTCCGCTCCAACATCAAAGCTCCATGAAGCCCCCAGTGAAGATCCTAGAGGGGTGCAGCTCCATAAAAACCCTAAAGAGGGTTGCTGCCATCAATTCCCCGCCCCTGCCCTTTGCCCTAGGAAACCCTAACACGAGGCTGGATATCCCAACTTCCGGCCTTGAAATTCTTAAGCGTGGAGCTGCCCAGGAGATTGCAGGCAGTGCTGTTCTGCAGAGGCTGGATATCTGCTCAGGCCGCTAATCAAGGTGAGGAAGACTCTGCACGGGCCCGGGGGTCCCCTCAACCCCCGAGATTGGCAATACCCACCATTTCTGTCAGAAGAGCTTCCAGGAGTGGGTGGGCTTTATTAGAAAAAGGGCATCACAGTCTCCTAGTGGGAGAAGGCGGGGGTCCCGTGCAATGTTGAGGGGTCCCGTGCAGTGCTGGTGGGGACCCTGAGTGCTAACCTGGCAACCTGAGTGCTAAAGCGGGCGTCGGGGGAGGATCATGGGGTGGGGATGGTGCGCCCGAGGCCCGGCGCCATTGTGGAGAGGAGGAGACAGAGGTGGGCTGGAGGAAGGGGTCCTCAGACGCAGCGCCCACGGCTCGGAACCGGCCCACAGTCCGCCCTCCAGCCGGCTCTCCAAGCCGTAGATCCCACAGGAGGAGACTGCCCACCTTTCTCCCAGCGACCACCTGGTGGATTCGAACCACCAGGGAAACACTCAAGGGCTTTGAGTTGGCACCGCAACACCCTACCAACTACAAGAACTAGCCAAAAAAACCCCAAGCTCGCTGCCGTGGAGTCAGAACCGACCCATAGCAGACCACCAAGCAGGTTTTGTGAGGCTGTAAACTGCACAGAAGGGACCGTGCAGCCAACGCAAAAACAGGAGGTTCAAGTCCACCAGCCGCTGTTGGGGGGCGGCGAACGATGGGCAGTCAACTCTCGGGAGACTAACCACCCCTAAAACCCGCTGGAGGGCCACTTATGGGTTGGTTCACATTCAACCGCACACAAAAACAAATTTTTTGGGAAGAAACTGCTCCTCTTATTATGGGAAACCGCGCTGCTAGTGCGTTTGAACTGCCTGACTTTGCGTTGGCAGTGCAAGTCCCAACCCATTAGTCCAGCAGGGCTCACTTTATAGGCACTGGGAAACACAGAATTGTGGGGCTCACGTCATTGCAACATGAGCTCTATTACAGTGGTCTGTAACTGACACATCTGTTATCTCCAATATCTGCTTATAGCCAAACTTCTTAAATTACTGATAATGCTGTTATTCAGTAGGATGTGTTAAAAGTGGCTATGATTCTCTTTTTCGGGAGACATTAAAGTGCAGCACTTTGGACACTGCTATCATGTTAACAGAAGTATTTTCAAAACACAACCATAGTTGCCAGCAAATCCAAACCAACTCAGAGCTGACCCTCTAGCAAGTTTTCAGAGGCTGTAAATCCCAGGGGGAGGAGATTCCCTACCAATCTTCAAAAGAGCCTCTATTGGATTTGAACCAGAAAAGAGGTGCTGCCTTTGGGTTAGCAGTAACAACTCCCTACCGAATAGGCCACCGGAGAACCCTAGTAGAGGGTAGAATCCAGGATTTTCCCAGGACTCCGATTTAGGTGAAGGAAGAGGCCTGGGGGAAATAGCTGCTATTATGTCAAAACGTGCACATGGCAGCTATCACCACCTAAGGTCTCAGCAAATAAGACCCTTACTGCCTCCACTGGGTGGGCTCTACAGTGGGAATAGATGGCTCAAGTCTACAGAGTGGTTCTAAGCTCATGCCAGGAGTCGAAGACAGGCCCTTGAGCGAGGCCCAAGGGAAAAGCTCCCCTAAAAAGCTGTTGTTGTTAGGTGCCATTGAGTCACCTATGGCTGTGAACAGCACAGGCTGGCCTCGACCTGGACAGGAAGAACTCTGGCTCCTTGAAGGCCCAGGGAACCTAGTGGGCTTTCAGGTCCAAGGGTGATCGTGAATCCCAATGTAGACAACAAAGAGAGGGTCTCAGACCCAATGTGGGGCCTGAGTTATAACTCTGAATAAGATCTGAGGATTACAAAGAGAGAAGGACAGAAAGAACTCCCAGATTGGCAGCACTGTGGGTCCTGCCATAGGGGGAAGACCTAGTACCCCTCCATGTTTCTCTTGAGGGTCCCAGGAACTCGGAGGTGGCCCCTCTAGAAGTGCAGAGTTAGGGAGAACAAAGAAGCGCCTGAATTGTGATGAAGGTCCTGAATGTGAACAGAGGAGGCA